TTTTTTTTTGGGGGGGGGGCTACATGCAGTACTGAAGTGAGAATGTGTGGGTGTGTAGATGTATGGTCAACATCTCAGTATTCCTCCTGAGAACATATAACATGCGCACATGAAGCTTTTCGCCTGCATGTCTGTGCAGACTTGCTCCGGGACGCTTAACCCGAAGCCCAAACCCTAATCCCCACTAGGGTAGTTCTCTAAATTAGGNNGTCCCCTTTTGGGTCCTTTTTATAATGCGGCACCTATTGTTTAGGGTACCCAAAAAGGGACCCTAATTTTGACAACCACCACTAACACTGGATCCCTCCTGAACTTCAACCCGAAAGCAACGGAAGCAGTGCTTGTCACAGCCTAGTCACATCTTTTCGCTGGGAACGCCTCCTTTCGACGGAAAGTGTTCGGGGGTTTCCACCAAAAGGGAGCCTGGATTTGTCTGCTCGGGTATTGCAGGAATATAACCGAACAAAATAACGCTGAAGGTTTGAGCGTGATGCTCGGAAGCTGCTGCTAGCATGGGTTCTGGGTGTAGTTGCAGCTCATCTCACGATCCTCAGACGGTTGGGGATTTCGAAGCCGCGCAGCTCAAGATGGCGAGGCGTCATGGCCCCGAGGGGAGATGGATGCCCCATGGGCATTTTTTCAGGTTCAGCTTATGCAGCGGCGCGCTTCTACTTGGCCTCGCATTCTTTGATGGCGCCGCTGTATTTGCAGGCACTGGGACCGTACCTCCGTCGACACCTGCCTCGGAACTCGACCCGTTCACAGTCGGCGAGCTGCAGACCATCGCAGAAATCCCACAGCATGTGTCCGAATCCCCATTGCAAGAACATTCTCCGGCCGAAGCTCCCGAAAGTGCCTCTCTGCCTGAAGAGCTGGTGGCCTCTGGGGCAGCTGCCGGCAAGCCATGGAAAGTCCCCGAGAGCGAACCCTCGAGAGAAGATTTCGCGCCGGTCTTCGTAGAGGAGCAGCTGCTGAATAGGACCGTTTCCCACCCTAAACCCTAAACCCTAAACCCTTCAGCATAGCTGGAAAGTTCTTTTACATTACAAGTGCTCTGCTGCTTGTTGTATTGTAGGCGGCTGCCAGCCTGTACCTGCAACAGCCTTTGATTCTTCCTGGCTTTTCAGCTATATAGCCTACTTGGAGGATCATGGGACTTAGTAAGTAAGGTTATAAGGCCCTTAATTGGGGTTATAAGTATAGTTACCCTAATTGTAACCCTACTTACTAAGTCCCATGATCCTTTAAGTAGCCTAACTTGATTATTACAGGGCTTGCTGATGCTTTCTGATGAGCAGGACTGACTTCCCAGTCCGATTTCTCGCGAGCCTGGAGGGCTGGACGGTGAAGGACCCTGCCCAGGCTTCCAGGTTGAAGCCATGGGCCCCTTTCAGGGGGTAGGGTTTAGGGTTTTGGGTTTAGGGTTTAGGGTAGTATGGGCCCTTAACCCTAAAATCCCACAAACCTGCTAGATACCCTATTATGTACCCTTAAGAGAGCCTAGAACCCCCTAAGGGCCCATACTCCTAACCCTGCCCAGGCTGTATTCTACCTCGTCTCCGGGCTGCACTTCTTGGGGGCACTTGGAGGTTCATGGGTAGTTTTATAAGTGTGGTTATAAGTTCCCAATATGGGTTATGGGTTATAAGTATAGTTACCCTACTAAAAACCCAGTTATAGCTACCCATGAACCTCCAAGCACTGGGACGGCGGGACCTCAAATTTGATTGGGAATCTTTCAGCCTAAGGGTTGAGGTCGGATTCCGATGTTCAGCTGGTGTCTAATATAGGGGCTTAATAAGTAGAATAGGGTTTTTGGGTATATTATACTATCATTATAATCAGGAGCCCGCAAAAATAGTAATTATAGGTAGTTATGTTGCCCGCTACAGTATGTCATACCAGGGCCCCCAAACCTCAACTCTGACAGCCCTTAACCTCAGCATCCACATCTTGGCTCCTCGTCTTGTAAGCTTTGAATACCCGTCGGCCCCGCCACTTCAGAACTCGGGGACGTGCACGGGTGCATAAGCGTGAGACACTTTAGGGGGCAATCAGGATCGATTCTGTGGCATCCTCTGACACCACACGCCCAAATCCGATATGTTTAGGTAGTATTATTAGGGGTACCCTAAAAGGGACCTTATTGAGAGCGTCTATATCCCCAAGGGTCCCCCTAATCCTAGCTCCCAATGTTAAAAGCCCTAAGCAGGAAACCCCCAGCCTGAGGTCTGTTGTGGTCCGGTTGATCGGCTGCTGGCCTTGCCGCCTCGAACGCCCGAGCGCCCTTATCTGTGCTACGACTGCGCCGCCAAGCTTGGCTTTGACAGGTCCGAAACTCAGGGGCAGACCCTCAGAAACCATGTATGGCCACATGATCCGTATGTTATCAGATGGTCACAATATGTTGCCATATCACAGACTCTGTCTGCTGTACAATAGCATTGGAGCCAAAGCTGCGACATACCTCAATTTCTCAGAACCTTAAGCGATGGTGCTACTGCCTGCAGGTTATCCGGAAAATGCTGGCACGACTGTTCCAGCCTGTTTGCCCTGCTCGCTCGTCGAGACTTCATGTTCTCTTCGTCAGACATGCGGCTCTGGGACATACACAATGACTCCGCACTACTGTTGCCGGGTATCACACATGCCCACCACATACCGCCACCAGAGACTTTGCAAAGGGACAGAATTCAGCCATCCAATCCCCCCAAGTATTTTCTGACCTTCCAGGGACCCTGGAATGTGGGAAAAGAGGGCAGCTCCTTCGTGCGCATGAACCTTGCGGCCATGCTCAATACCTCCAAGAGGCCTCCGAAGTCGATGAGGAGTCCGACGGGCGAAACCTTGCCCTTACCCACAACAAGTTACACACCACCGGCGGATGTCTTCATCTCGATTGCAGGTGAATACCGCTACTTCAAGGAATTCAGACAGTACCACTCCCTCTTCGACTCTTCTTACAGCCTTGTTCTTCATGGTCATGGCCGTTGGAGCTATCGTCTTATGGAGGTCCTGAACGGCCAGGCCATTCCAGTGATCATGGCTGAAGGCTGGACATCGGAACTCTCGAAAGCCCAACCGCCAGCCTCTATCAAGCCCATATGTCTCTCTCTCTCTCTCTCTATATATATATACATACATGTGTGTATACATACAGACATAAACATGTGGGTATATGTAAAGACTACATATATGTTTGTATTCATGCGATTCAAGATCTTTGTCCACCTTCCGCACCTGACTTTGCGCTCTGAGCCTGGAGGTTGGAATCTCCCGTACCAAGAGCTCATCGACTGGGATCAGATCTCCGTGAGGACTGTCTGGTGCTTAGTAGGGAATGGGGGAATGGATCCCTATGATAGTCCCTTAAGGTCCCTTATAGTAATCCCTATAACCCATTCCCCCATTCCCCACCCTAAACCCTAAACCCTAAATCCCTAAATCCCTAAATCCCTATAGCCCATTCCCCCATTCGAGGAGGCCCGAGGCCTTCGGCTTGGACCCCGGAGGCCTCATCCAGAGCCTCTCCCGCGACCAGCGAAGGATCGAGGCCACCCGGGAGCGTGTCCGTGAGGTCTTCGAAAAGTACCTTGAACTACCAAAACCTACTTTTTTGTAGGGTCCCTATAAATTCTATATTAGGGTTTATAATAAGGACCTACAAAAGAAGTAGGTTATGGTAGTTGAAGGTATTTCAAAAACCATCAGCTGCGGCTTTCTGCGATGCTTCGTTCTGCAGCCCTCTGGAAGCAGAATTGGCGTGAGAGGGAGAAAGGGACTCTGCGCTTGCTGGCAGACAGGTACCATGCAGAGACTCTTTCAAAGGGCCCAAGCGTGGCTGACTTGCTTGTCGGCGAAGCTGGGAAAGAAAGAGACCTTCATGCCGTAAAGCTTCCTCATGGTTCTACTCTGCTGACTCCGCTCTCGATCTTGAATCCTGCCTGTAGCCACAGTTCAGACAACTGGAACCCCAACACATTTGAATCTTCAAACATGGTACTGCCTAACGAGTTTCTACTGCCACGACGATGGCTACCGCTTCAAAGACAATGACGTCAGCAGCCGCTACTACTGCTACTGCTACTGCTGCCGTCCTCCTGCTGTTCCTCCTCCGCGCTCTGCTGCTGGCTGGTGCCCGTTACGAGGACGACTACTTAAAGGATCATGGGACTTACTTAGTAGGGTTATAATTAGGGTAACTACACTTCTAACCCCAATTAAGGGACTTATAGCCTTATTTGCTAGGTCCCATGATCCTCCAATTGCTCCCTCTGCTTGCTCTTGTGCGGCCCCTGCTGCGGCGGTCGTGCCGCCAACCCTAAACCCTAAACCCTAAACCCTAAACCCTAAACCCTAAACCCTAAACCCTAAACCCTAAACCCTAAACCCTAGCCAGGAAGCTCTACCTGCTACGCCTGCTGAGTCTCAGGATCCAGACAGCGAGGAGTCGGCGCAGTTTCGGGCGTATGGGATGGGTAATGCATAGGGGCCTATAAATAAATACCTATACTATTTGGGTGCTTCCTTTCTATAGTCATAGATATAGTATAGTGGGCCCCAAGATAACCCCATTCTAATCATTAAGGCCCCTAGATTCGTCACGCAGGGTTGTTTTGTAGTGGCTCGAGGAGTTTGGTGTCTCGTTGGTCTGGTCTGCAGCTTCGAGCTTGGCAGTGGAGGTTGTCAGATATCTTGGGTTTGACGACTCGACGGCTCGTGGTTAGCTCTACTAGGAGGTTTTTTACACATTTGGCTTGGTAGTACACGCACTTTTCGTACTGTATCAGGAGTTTCGGCAGTAATGGTCGCAGCGTCAGAGAAACGCGGTCACCATCCCCCCGCAAAGACCTGTGCCTGGTAACCCTCTCTCCAAAGAAGCACCGAGGATTGAAGAAGAACCCTAAACCCTATAACCCTAAACCCTAAAACCCTAAAACCCTAGACCCTAAAACCCTAAAGCCCTAAACCCTAAAACCCTAAACCCTAAAACTCTACAACCCTAAAATCCTAAAACCCTAAAGCCCTAAAACATCTCAAGCTGGAGCCGCGGGCCAAATTTTGCACGCAGCCTTGGATCTCTGCAGGCGGCCGAAGCCGCAGATGCCCCGGCAGAGTGAGGGGCACGAATGCTCCGTTGGGTCTGATTTAGGGTTTAGGGTTTAGGGTTTAGGGTTTAGGGTTTAGGGTTTAGGTTGATGGACAAAATCCTGTATGACCTTATTATATACCTAAACTATGGGATGTATGGTACTATACTATAATTTGGGTCATGCAGGATTTTGTCCATCAACAGGATCCAGGCTTGCAGATCAGAAAAAGAGCTTCTGTTTCCATGTTGAGTGGTACGAGCATGAGACGAGCTTCTGAGAAATGGTCTCAGGGCGCATAAAGACTGTATGCGGAGGGAGTGGGGGCAGAAATGCAAAGGTCTTACGCACAGATGTTTGTTCTCTATAGACTGTTCTAGTGCAATCAGAGGTGCGAGGTCGAGATTGCTTTCACAGCAGGCCGTGGCACGCTTCCATACGCCCTCGCCTGCTCAATCGAAGCTATTTCTGTCTTTAGTTCGGCGGGGAGATCCAGGATTCGTATATCCACGTCAGCGTCTTAGCGGGCCAGCGTAGGGAGTTGATTTTTCAGAATGTGGTCTTGCGGTCGGTGCTTGCGGCTGGAAGATGCTTGAAGCAAATTTGGGTTTGGCTCGGTTAGTTAGCTTCGTGTTCTGGGACCGGAAAAGGCCAGCACTGCTGTCGCAAAGCTGTAGGAAGAGGGAGTCAAGCGTACCACCAGAAACGGTAACCCGAAACGTTATGCTAAAGATTCTTCTCGACACTCCCGGACTTACACAAGGGCAGTGACTGCTGCTGTTTTGGTTGACAGGAAGTGATTCCCTGCGTCGGTACCTGTGAAAGGAGTGGATGACAGGGGTAATCGGCACAAGTTGCTGACAGAATCGTACAGCTAACTACTACAGTATGTCAATGCAAGTAATCATGTAAATTTGGGCGACATTTCCTGGTAGCTGGCATGAATTCCTTCCTGCAGCCAGCGCAGTTTCACGTTTTTGGCGTTTGCAGGAGGCGTGATGGACTGGCCGCCGCCGCAGATGAACTACAACACCAAGCACTTTGACAAGTGCCCTGGGCCCTCGAGCGGACAATGTAAGATATGGTATGCTAGATTCGGTGAAATAGATGTGGACTGCCGTATGATTTGCAAAGAGAGGGTCTTTCATGATCTGGGGACTTCTGAAGTTCGGGCTCCCTTTATGGGTTCTGTGATATTCTCCAAGGCTTCGTCTCGAAGCCCTCACCGCCAAACCGTAAACACTCAATCTCCGACCCTAAACGGTCATGCCGTGAGCTTCGGAACCTGCTTGTCGACCTGTGAATGGAAGTGTTTGTAAATCTAGTACCAACAATGAACCCGCCACAACCACCCCTGGAGCAAGTTACTCCAAGTCTTGGTCTGTTTCGAGTCCGCCAGATCCGGGGGGGCCCGCGAGGATTTTGCATGTATGGCCAAGTCTGCACTTTTGAATCTGAAGCTCCCTCCTTGGACTGGTTGTGTACTAGGCAAAATCCTGCATTGGAGTCGGGTTACTTAGGAGTAAGAGCTGAGTAAGGTCATAATGCCTATCATCGAAAACCTTATCCTAAGTAGAGCAGCACCGATATTGGTTCACTTCGAATTAAGCGACATCAGCCCCTCAAGGATGTGCAAGCCGGCTCCATGACACAGTATGAGCAGGCTATTCTGTATCTGTGACCAGGTAGATGAGGAATTTGTTAACTTGCAGGTTTGGATTCAGCATATGCATAGTTTTTACACACGTTCTGCGACTTGGGTGTGTGATTATGGAGGGGTCTCTATTTATACACTGAGGCTCATATAATGGTCTCATGCCAAGATCGTATCGACAGGCGATACCTTCAAGCCCGAAGCAGCCCTAAACCCTAAACCCTAAACCCTAAACCCAAACCGTGCCATGAGGTATCACCACATCATTCAGTATGCCCAACAGGGCGAGGCAGGGCCGCGCCCGAACTCTTCCGACATGATATAGGGGCCTTAATAATTAGAATAGGGTCGTGGGCTAAACTATACTATAATTATACTGAGAAGCCCCCCAAAACCCTATTCTGTCTAAGTATTAAGGCCCCTACGTTGTTGGTTTTGGCTTGGGCTTTGAGTTTCAGGGTGGTCCGGTTTAGGGTATCGTCGCGACACAGTACCAAGAAAACGGCTGCCCTACAGAGTGAAGGATCAAAAGTTTCACGGTTTTGTGATGGGGCATCAGTGTTGGACTAAGTGGTTTGTTTTTCTAACCCTAAACCCTAAACACTAAA